CAATGGTCTGTTTGCTCGCAAAGTACGCCTACATTAGTATGTCGTCGACGATCACGAGCTCTGCCGTCGGTTTGCGGACAACACAACAAAAACAGGACCGAAATATCGCCAAAAGATGCGGTTTTATTGTGGCCACAGATTGCTTGTGTTGGATGCCTATTGTGGTGATCAAAGTGCTGGCACTGGCGGGTATAACTCGTTTGCTGAGACATCATAAACCTTAATAATATAGAGAATATTCTGTGATTTATTCATCTTATAGGTGTTCCCATCAATGACTCACTTTACGCAGTGATCGCCATATTCTTACTGCCCGTCAATTCTGGTAAGAAATTTGATTTTTATAAAGTTATACAGAATTCTGTAATGAGTTCATTGGCACTAACTTTGTATGATATGCTAATCCTATGTCCATCACCATTGGGTATCAGCTTTAAACCCAGTGCTCTACACACTGACCACAAAGCTATTCAAACAACACTTCTCCAAAATAATGACATACAGTCTGCGTCTACACCGCAACGGATCCACAGGAACGGGAGGTGACCAGCATTCGGGTACTTCTTATTCTACGATTATAACGCATTCACGGAATACCTGCAAACGGTCAGTGCTGACCATCTGTTCAGAAGTAAGTCCGAGTAGGCGTCGCCAACCATACCATAACCCAAACCAATCACTGAATTCAACTCACGATTAATACAACTATCGAAACGATAATAGTTTTGAAAACCTAAAGAATACTTAAGTTTCTTATAATTACACACAAGTTATGATGAAATTTAAGTATTTTTTCGGACACTTTATATGAAGTTTGTCTTCACATTCAACACCACTTTCACAGAGCACTCGGACTTTAAACTAATAGCACGTTTGCCATACAATTAACGTGTGTTTCATTTGCATGTGTTTTGCAATGTATTGTATTGTGTCTATGCTTTTCACCGCTTTCCATGTATTGCACTGAATCTGTTGATTGCATTTTGAGATTACCAGTGATTTGCGAAACACTTTTAATGGTATACCTCTTGTGGTGACAGACAGACACGGAAGCCGTACAGACGGACAGAGCGCGAAGTACTACGACTCCGAACCGCCAGACATTTGCTTTGATGCCAATCAAGACAATGAGTTCTTCGGATTCCGATCCACACAAACAGACCGACAGTTTCCTATGAGTCCGATGGCCAGCGCCCGACCCCTGAGCCGACACACGAGTCTTCATATCTCTGACTATGGGATCAGAAAACAGAAGACTTATAGGAGAGACCGACAGACGACCGCTAAACACATCAACGAAACTCATTTGGATCACAGAATTCATGATAAAATGTTTTTTATGTAAAATATAACGAGAATTAAATTATTATTTATATACATTTGCTGTAAATTCATGTAAATTATAGTGTGAAGTGATGTACTGTTTAGTGAATTAACGTTAATTAAAAGTTGTACTCTTTTTATGTTAATTTACTTATTTATTAAACTCTATCTCATTATACATCCGAAATAAAATGACAAAATTATAGCATTCATTAGCGGCTAATATGAGGTATGATTGAGAAACTGGAGTACTAATTATTGGAATTCACTAATTTCATAAAATATTTTGCAAAATTGATAATTTAAAAACAAATTTAAGTGCACTTAAAAGATGTCATATAATTTAACTTGTAGCATAAAAAGTTAGAATTGGTTTTTGTGTGCAATTGTAACTCAATTGTAAATAATAATGAGTTAAATTAAATTAACGATACTGTAATCATTTAATATTCATATCTTAGTTAATTAAATATAACAAAAAGCAATAAAACACAAAACAAGAATTTAAGTGATATTTTAGATTCAAATAGTAACTTATTAGTACTGTTTCTATGGTTTCCGTAGTTCATGTAAAAACATCACAAAACAATATTCAGTATAAAAAACAAATATTTTGTATTAGAAATTTTGTTTATTTGTAAATTTTACGACAGATTTTATGATTTAATTTTTATAAATAAGATTTAATAATGAATGACAAGAATGTGTTGATGAGCGCCGGTCTATACATAGACGAGTCCAACAGAATCCGTATAATAGATCCGGAATTGTCTGATAAGACCATTGAGTTGAAGAATGAAAGCACAGAATTCACTGAAAGTAATCAATAGTTTTAATGTTTTTTATGCAATTTAATAATTTTAATAAATAATTATCATTTGATATGTAAAATAATTTCAGAGACACAACAGTTCCAGAAAATTGTCGATAATTTTGTGACAATAATTCAAGATTTGGCTCAAAGAGTGGAAAAGGAGAAAATTAAAGTAAGACTTATTCATAGCAGTAATGAATGAATGCATGAATTGATTGTGGCATTGGTTGTATTGGACAGGCAGTTGGCTCCAGAAATCTGTTGAAGTCGTTTGAAAAGAGACATAATTCTGATGTCCAACAGTTGCAGACATTAATTAAAGAGAAGAAACAAGAGTTGGAAAGGTATGTCTTATACCATATCATACATCTATTTCTTATTGTAAGTTGTATTCAAATAATTTATTATTTCTTTGTCTGCATTGTGTAGACTTAGAGTACAAATGGATTCACTAAAGCGCGAAGAAGCAGAACAATTGGATCTAATCGAGCAGATTATGGTTCAGAAATGATGACATTTAATTCAAATCAGTTCATAACTTATGAAATATATATTATATTATAAATACACAATTTAGTTAATTCAATTAGTTAAGCTAGCTAATAAATCATATATTAAATCATTTAAAAGAATAATATACTATAAGTACAATATGTTATAATACGAATCTATAGGTAGGCTAAACCTTATTTCTATTATTATTTATAATCAAATTTAGTTTCCTTTATTAATAAATGTCAATAAAAATAAATATTTTTTATATCAAATGAATTGAATCTAGAATTTCGACGAAACAATTCTATACTTTCTTAGCGCCGGCAGGTTTGGCTCCGGGTTTAGCGGCAGGCGATGGTTTGGGAGCGCCGGCAGCTTTTGGTGTCTTTGTAGACGCCACTGATTCTGACGATGACTTCTTTTTCATTATTAAGAAGGCTATGAACGCGACGGCGACCACAATACAGACGATCACCACTACTATCATCCACACCCAACTGATACCACCACCGGTTGTGCTGTTCCCAGATCCGTCTTTTTGAAGATCACCCGGTGGTTGGCCATCAACGCCACATTCTGGGAGATCAGAAATCTTAAAGAAGTCTCTCATTATGTCCAGAGACTTGTATGTCTTAACTGTGACTCTACCGGCCGGTGTGATCCCAGGGACGTCCAGTTTCCAGCCCTGCTTTTTGCCAAACAAATACAGTGTATTCGTGTTATTGGCGAACATCGCGGTTATGCTCTCTTTGGTACAAAGTCAGTGACATTATAAATGTCGGAACTCTTACCAAAAGCATCCGCATTCTTACAGATGTCTGTGCAGTCGACGCGCACATAGTGTTGGCCTTTCACTAAATAAATCTTCAGCGGTTCGACCGAAAACATGGCGTCCAATGGGTCGGAGTCAACAAACATCGGAGTCGCCTGTTGGAAGCACTTGTCGGACTCGTAAGACTGAGCCGGGCCTTTCCAGCGCCCAGCCGTCACGTCATAACCCATAAACATATGCTTACCGGTGACCACCTCTGACACCCAAATCACTTTCTCGTTCGT